ATTCAAGGCAGCAATAGATCAATTCAACTTGCTCCTTTGTGGTAATGCATCAGGTGATTTTAAGTGTAACGAAGATGACAAAGAACCTGAAGAAAAATAGTTAGCCTTGCAACAGTTATGCAAGTAGTTCCATGTTGCTGCTAAACCAGCAGATTGTTTTCACTGAGAGGACCCTGACAAATCTAGAAGCACTGCTCTGAAGCAGGGTCTAGAACAGCTGATGTTGCCTACTGTCTGCTGCATAAAGCACAGCAGGATAAAAGAGATCAGACGTATTACAGAATTTCTCAGTACTCTACTACAACAAGCATTAGTGCAAGAGCCTCAACCATCCACCTCAGCTAATGATCCACAACCTTCCACCTCAGTTCAGCAGGATCACACCATCCTTCTCCATAACTATCACAATCACTGACATGCACCAACAAGCAGAATTTAAAGAAAGACATAATATTTATGTAATCTTTGACACTTAAGTATTGTCTTAAACATAACACATCAATGAATTCACATACAATTACATTATCATCATGTTTTTACAATTTTGAAATCTATAAAAATTCTGGTGGCTTTTTTGGTGGTCTTATGAACATAATCCTACTTTCCACATATGTTCTTCAGTTCAGCTTATGCACATTTTTTTTTGTTACCATTTTCAGAAACTTAACTACCATGTTATCTGATGGTCAACTGTATAGTAATTTATTATTAGTTCCACAGTTTACATTAAATTTTCCAGAAGATATTTGTGTTGCAATATTTTAGCAAAATGCAATTAAAGCTAAAAACAAGCTATTTGGCAAACACATTACTGTATACCTAATAAATGCTTAACGACAATTACACAGGAGTTAAATGTGTCTATTTTAGCCCTCTGAGGGTCCGTCCTATAGTCATACAGCTTTGAAGCCAGGGTCCAAGCCATAGTTCTACACCATGAGCTCAGCTCACTCAGATAAGCTGTAAGCAGTAAATCTGGGCCTAGATATGAGAGTGGATCTATGTGGTAAGTGTGCACCATATAAAACAAATTCTGCAGCATGCAGTGCACAATGAGAAAAAGAAATGCCACCGTGTTTTCGGATTAAAACTGCAACTTTGCGGTGTATTTTTGTATGGTTTTTATGGTTGTATTCACGGTTTCTTGGTCTCATTTCAAAGAATGGAAGATATATTACAGAAATAGAGATGATTTTAATTGGTTTTAGTACTAAAAATAGTTTGAAATTGAGCTCAAATTAGCAGAAATGTTCGATTTTTGCCGATGTTCAAGAGTAAATAAGTGATATCGTGCATCCAATACATGTCAACTGGTGGGTCTAATATACATTCATGAATGTGCTAATACTATTTATACAGTAGACCCCAGGTTTTAGATTGTAATCCGTTCCAAAAGGTTGGCCTAAATCCAAAATGGCCGAAAAATGAAGAAATATTTCCCATGAGAAATAATGTACATAAATCCAATTAATCCCTTCCAGACACCCAAAAATATTAAAAAACAAAATACATTTTTTAAAGAAACTATAGTTTTACATACAAAAAACAATGAGAAAGAAATATAAAGCACTGATTTAAATGATAAATGAACATTACATACCTTTATTGAAGACTCTTGTTAGCATATTGAAGAAGGTGAGGAGGGGAGAGGGAGTTGGGAATCCTCCTCCATAAGGACTTCAGGTATCAAAACCCTCTCTATGGTTACTTCCCCTCTTGGTCATTTTCTGCCACAGAACATTCATTACTTACCTTAAGATATTTGTAGTCTTAATGTAGGGCGAGAGGCGAGTAGTACACCTACCATCCGACTTACGACCTGCTCAACATACGACCACTTGACTTATGACCATGTTTTGTATGCCAAATTACTGGAAAATAAACAACTGTTTGCGTTGTACAGTGTTTATCCTAAACCTTACAGTATAAAATACAGTACTAACAAAAAAAGTAAAGTAAAAAATGAAATACCAAAATAAAACAAAATAAAATCATTACAAAAAATGTGATGTTGATATTCAGTAGTAAGGTTCAACTTATGTCCATTTTAGACTTACAACCGGTTGGTAGGAACCAAGCTCGGTCGTAAGTCGGATGGTAGGTGTATTTATTTGTAGGAAGTCAGTGTAGGCAGCGGTAGATGTAGGTACATGTATGTAGCCCCCCTTGGCTACACTACACAGCCATATTATTGCCATTGACATGCCACATCCACCGAGTTTAATCATTTCTAACAACTACCTTTAAATGCCATCATAAACAAAGGAAGAAGTAATGAACAATTTATGCATGGTGATGAATGTTGCAGCAAGGAGAAGGCTGGAGGCAGTGGAGATGTCATGTCTGAGGGCAATGTGTGGTGTGAATATAATGCAGAGAATTCATAGTTTGGAAGTTAGGAGGAGGGGCAGGATTACCAAAACTGTTGTCCAGAAGGGCTGAGGAAGGGTTATTGGGGTGGTTCGGACATGTAGAGAGAATGGAGCGAAACAGAATGACTTCAGGAGTGTATCAGTCTGTAGTGGAAGGAAGGCGGGGTAGGGGTCGGCCTAGGAAAGGTTGGAGGGAGGGGGTAAAGGAGGTTTTGTGTGCGAGGGGCTTGGACTTCCAGTAGGCATGCGTGAGCGTGTTTGATAGGAGTGAATGGAGACAAATGGTTTTTAATACTTGACGTGCTGTTGGAGTGTGAGCAAAGTAACATTTATGAAGGTATTCAGGGAGACCGGCAGGTCGGACTTGAGTCCTGGAGACGGGAAGCACAGTGCCTGCACCTGAAGGAGGGGTGTTAATTTTATTATTATTATCACACTGGCCGATTCCCACCAAGGCAGGGTGGCCCGAAAAAGAAAAACTTTCACCATCATTCACTCCATCACTGTCTTCCCAGAAGGGTGCTTTACACTACAGTTTCTAAACTGCAACATTAACACCCCTCCTTCAGAGTGCAGGCACTGTACTTCCCATCTCCAGGACTCAAGTCCAGCCTGCCGGTTTCCCTGAATCCCTTCATAAATTTACTTTTGCTCAGCTCCAACAGCACGTCAAGTATAAAAACCATTGGTCTCATTCACTCTATTCAAACACGCTCACGCATGCCTACTGGAAGTCCAAGCCCCATCGCACAAAAACCTCCTTTACCCCCTCCCTCGCAACCGTTCTAGGCCGACCCTACCCAGCACTTCTCCACTACAATGATAACTCCTGAAGTCTTCTGTTTCGCTCCATTCTCTCTCATTGATCGCCACCTCACACCCTCCTCAGCCTAGGACAACAGTTTTGTAATCCGCATCCTATAACTTCTAAATACGAATTCTCTGCATTAATTAACACCACACATTGCCCTCAGACGACATCTCACTGCCTCCAAACTTCCCCTGCAACATTCATCACCACGCTTCAACCCATATAAGAGCATTGGTAAACTATACTCTCAACATTTTCCCCCTTGTCCTCAAGGGCAAAGTTTTTCTCCACAGACTCCTAAGTGCACAATTAATTTTTTTCCCTATCTAATTCTATGAATTCACCTATTTATGAAAACTCGGAATCCACTCCAATTATGTTGACAGTGTTCATGCATCTGGCGATTTTCCCACTTTATTCCATGTTTTCCACCTAATCCATTGTACTATCATCAAAACATAATACTTTCCTGCGGCCAAAATCTAGTTATTTTCAGCCCAAAAGGTGCCGAAATCCAATTTGGCCCCGATTCTTCTGCACTTTCTTCAGAATTCCAGGGCCCCTGTAACAAAATATTACAATCATACACTTTGTGTGATTTTTTGTGTAATAAAACCCTTTTGAAAAAAACTCAATTGAATTCTCTTATAAGCCTGGAAAATGTAACTAAAACCAGGGAAATATTTGTCTAGGAATACCTGCACTTTTACTGGGAACCAATTTTAATTATATATTTAATTGAGCTTATACTCGCCAAAATCTTTACTCACTATATTGGTAGGTGAACCTACTGACGGGCCCTTCTTTGCATCATTGATCACACCGACCTGATACTAGCAACCAGTCAACTTTGTCCAACTGATAATTAAATAGCCAAAATAGGACCAAGCCTAAAATACTGCGTTCATAATATGTTTGCAGTAAAATTCACAATACCCCCTAATTTCTAAATTTTCCTCAAATTTCAACTTTTTTCTATTTCTCAGTCTAACTATCTTCCTTTCAATTAAAAAAATTTTTTTTAAATTCTGACCCTGATACAACTGTATAATTTCTGCACTTGGACTTTCCTGGTTTAACAACTATGTAATCCTAATTAAAAAACTGCCAACAAGGTAAACTTTAAAGAGTATTTCCTTAAATTTAAATTAGTTATTGCACTCAGCGCTCCGAACTAGATCCCACCTTTTTTTACTACTTTTCAATTAAAAACGTAGCCTTACGTCAGCACTTTCGTTGCAAACGTAGTAATTCCACACTTAAAATGTAATTACCAACTTACAAATGTAACTATTCCACACTAGTTGTCCTAAAGTAAAAATTAGGTTCAAAAACAGTTTAAAATTTCCCACAAGCATATTCCTCCATCTTCAATAGCTCTACTATTTTAACTATGCTCATAATTTTTAATGATTATATGCAAGGCTAACAATATGCAAAATCTACTTATACATACTTATGTAGGAGGCTTGTTATGCAGTACCATGTGGCAATAACCTTTGGATGTTTGGTGTGCTGGATCTTCAGAACTATTTTATTGGAGGTAAGCAACACAGTGTCACTTAGTAGTTAACGTAGTGTTCTATATGGGAATTCCTCAGAATTACTTTATTTGCTCAGTGTTCTCTGGCAGTTAGGCAGAGATAATGCTCAAATATGCCCTTTCTCTAATGCTTTCTTAATAAACTCTTTCATCTATTAGTCTAAGTTGTATCAAGAAAAACTAAACTACTTGACAATCGCCAATATTCCACCACAAGCACATCTCCAACCTACAATGAAACTGACATACATACATAGCTCAAATAATAGCTGACCTGGATGTTGGCAAGAAGTCTCATGATAGTCTGTCTATCCCTGCGTGCTCGTGTTTGGAGAGCATGGAGTGCAGCTTGCTGCTGGTCTGTATATGCACGAATGTTGGTTTCAACTTGGGATTCTGCCTTCTTGAGGAACCTTGACACCTGTTGTGCAAATAAATATTGTACATACAAAATATTTAGCTCAATTATAAGTTCATTATTATTATATTCAATGGAAAGCTGCTAAACTCATAATGGTCATATAGGCCTTGTCGAATGGGAGATAGATCAAGAGCCCTTTACCAACATCAAAGAACCTCCACAAGGGGATTATCAGTGCACAGAATGCTATATTGAATGTAGATACACTATTCATCCATATGCTTTTTCTTTCCCAAAGACTGGAATAACAACTATTGAAATATCCTTAAATATATTGTTTGGCTGCAGCCCTCCAAATATGAAAAACTCAAAACATCAGCCAGAGTATTACTTAATAATTTGGATGCCATTTGTTTTTCACTACATACAAATAAATAGATGCAGGTAACCTCTGTAACAGTACAGTGCACAAACAAACACTGGCCCCTGCACTCCCTACTTCTTCCTCATTGTACTTTACCTTTTAGTCTCTTTCTCACCTCATATTCCCTTTTTCTGCTTCCTTTTCCTCATCTAGCTCACCACCAGCAATATCTAAATACAGTAATGTAAACATCCATAGGTGGATTATTAATAAAACCCAAGAATTAAATAAAAAATTTCAAGAAAATCCAAGACCTCACCTAGAAACCAAACAAATCTGCATAACTGCCAGGGTTATTGCATTAGAAAGGAGAGATAAACATAAACTGAGATTTTAAAGAATTTTAGCTACAGCTTGTAATGAATTTTCAGATTATATGGCTGGTTCAATTTCTACTGGAGATTTATTTGTGACTGTCATCTATAGCTTGCAACCAAATAACAGAAGACCCAGACAGAAATACAAGAATAATTCAACAATTATCACAGAAAAATGTTTAGTAGGGAGTTTCAACCACAGATATAAATTGGGAGAACAGGACCCACACAGGGCCATAAAGACAGAAAACAGAAAAAGTGAACAATATTGAAGGTAGCAGAAATCTCTGAACTAGAGACCACTGTACCTTAGAAGCCTCATGTGCAAATTGCTAGAAAAGATAAGGTTCTGGTGAACATCTTGGATGGGATCAAGCCTCCATCCCTTCTTGTGCTGATTGACCCCCATGGGTTTAGTTCTTCACATTTTTTGTTTAATTGCACAAACATGAATTCAGAAATAGAAAAAGTATGATAAATTTCTAAAGACAGGAAAGAGGGATGGGGGAACTACAAGAAGGCTTTTGATATGCGCCACATAAGGCTAATTAGCAAACTGGAAAAGTCAGTCAAGGTAAAATAAAGATATTAGCAAGGATAAGGAAATACTAAAACAGAACAGAATAGTGGTGAACCCCATATAGTTTCTGGTGCATATCAATGACCTAATTACAGGATTAACTCCTACATGTCCTTATTTGTGGATGATGCCAAAAAAAATAACGAGAATACAACTGAATAGGATGAAAGAAGGCTGCAGTAAAACTGGACATACTTCAAGAATGATAGAATAAATGGCCAATTGAATTTATCTCAGCAAAAGCAGTTATGAAGCTGGGAGGCAGAGGAAAGGAGACCAAAAACAATACCATCAAGAGGGAAAAAAGAAAAACTCACTATAACAGCTGAAAGAAAAAGACATGAATAACCATTACCTCAACCCTATACCCCTCTCAAGTGATTATATCTGAATACACACAGTTTGGCTACACACATAATATTTATCTACTGAAGATTAAAAAATTTACTTGCAACTAAATACCATAGGTTAAAGAAAATATGAAATTTATTTTATGGTATTAGAATGGTTATTACCTGCTGCTGGATGGCACCAAGAGCTGCTTCAGTCTGTGGTGATCGTTCGTTAGTAAAGTCGGTGGGTGAGAGCGGAGGCAGTGGGCGATTATCTAAGGATGAAGGCAGGACCATACAAAAGACAGGAGAGTAGTTTTCACATCTCTGTAATATCTGAATCCTGCTTGAATCTTTCTGTAGACAGGAAGATGTTATGGTTGGTACAATATCACACAGTACTTTGCTCTTTTCACAAGAATCACATGGTCAAGCTAAGCTGAACAGTGCTCTAAAGTCATCGAGGAGTCAGATAATTCAAGTAGTCACAAGAGCAAGATAAACTTGGAAGGGCAAATGTTGTACTTCATTACTAACACTAAATATAAATTTTAATAATTTATTGTTTTTTTGTGTTCATTATTTAGTCTATTTCGACAGTAAAATTACCTTTATAAAAATATTGTCAGATAGTATTTAGTAAAGTATTAGTTTAACCTTTCAAAGGGATCAAACTAAATACTGGATGAAGAAAACAGTAGTTCAACTGACACATTATAAAGTTTTAATTTGTTAGTGATGGTGTACAAACTATTTAAAATTTGTTTTAAGTAATATTTTACTGAACCAAAATAAAGCATTAAGACTATTTTTATCATTTACTTACAATACAGTACATGATATAATAAATTAACCAACAATAACACTGCATAATTAACCAAACTTACTAATGTATTAGCAATGTACTGGCAGCAATAAATACACAAGTTCTTTGAGAAATGTGTGTCAGACTTACTATTAATGAAACACTAGCAGCAATAGGTCCACTAGGGCCTCGCGTGGCATGTGTCATTAAGTGACAGTTGAGACACTCTTCAATAGTCCAGCCACCAACATGAAAAGTACGAACCAAGAACTTCTGTCCTTCTGTTATCCCACCTAAACTTAAGGTGACCAAACATGCACCCTGAGAAAATAAATATAATTACAGTATATTAATTGGATATCACATTGGAGGGAGTATGGAAGAAGTAAATGCATTCAGATATTTGGGAGTAGACTTGGCAGTGGATGGGTTTTTGAAATATGAGATTAACCATAAAATTAATAAAGGAAAAAAAGGTGAGTGAGGCATCGAGGTATTTGTGAAGACAAAAAAGTTATCCATGGAGGCAAAGAAGGGAATGTATGAAAGTACAGTGGTACCAACACTCTTATATGAATATGAAGCATGGGTTATTAATGCTGCAACAAGGAGAAGGCTGGAGGCAGTGATGTCCTGTCTAAGGGCAATGTGTGGTGTAAATATGCAGAGGGTCTAAAGAGGGGCTATCGAGGTGGTTTGATCATTTAGAGAGGATGGAGCAAACTAGGACAACTTGGAGGGTGTATAAGAGAGATAAGATAAGATTTCGTTCGGATTTTTTAACCCCGGAGGGTTAGCCACCCAGGATAACCCAAGAAAGTCAGTGCGTCAGCGAGGACTGTCTAATTTATTTCCATTGGGGTCCTTAATCTTGTCCCCAAGGATGCGACCCACACCAGTCGACTAACTCCCAGGTACCTATTTGCTGTTAGGTGAACAGGACAACAGGTGTAAGGAAACGTGTCGAAATGTTTCCACCCACCGGGAATCGAACCCGGGCCCTCCGTGTGTGAAGCGGGAGCTTTAGCCACCAGGCCACCGGGCCTAGTGGACGGGAGGAGGGGTAGGGGTCATCCTAGGAAAGGATAAAAGAGGTTTTGTGTGCAAAAGGCTTGGACATGCAGCAGGCATGTGTGAACATGTCTGATAGGAGTGAATGGAGATGAATGGTTTTTGGGACCTGATGAGCTGTTGGAGTGTGCACAGGGTAATATTTTGCAAAGGTATTCACCAAACAGACCCATTCTCAAATCTTTATCAAAATTTACAGCTCTTACTTATCTGTGCGAGCCGAGCTCATGATCCAGAACTACGCGAGTGACTCTGGCCTCAGTGACGTAGTTCTATGCAACGGCCATCGAGAAGCTTAAGTCATCTACCACCTATTCCATCCATTTGCAGCATCTGCTACATTGCTCCCTTATCCACCCTATCACATGCCTTTTCTAAATCCATTTTTTTTTTTTTCAACAAGTCGGCCGTCTCCCACCGAGGCAGGGTGACCCAAAAAAAGAAAGAAAATCCCAAAAAAGAAAATACTTTCATCATCATTCAACACTTTCACCACACTCGCACATTATCACTGTTTTTGCAGAGGTGCTCAGAATACAACAGTTTAGAAGCATACACATATAAAGATACACAACATATCCCTCCAAACTGCCAATATCCCAAACCCCTCCTTCGAAGTGCAGGCATTGTACTTCCCATTTCCAGGACTCAAGTCCGACTATATGAAAATAACCGGTTTCCCTGAATCCCTTCACTAAATATTACCCTGCTCAATGAAAAGTTCTTTACCTTTAAGTACTGTTCACTTATGTGAATCAATGTACGTAAACACTTGGGCTACACCTTGTCTTTCCTAGAAGCTCCTTGTTCCTCTGCAATCCTACTCTCTGTCTTACCCATAATTCTTTCAATAATAACTGCTATACACTAACTGGTTCAACTGCCTCCCAGCATACATAAGAGGGATTACCAATAGACCCCTAGCTGTCTTGAAGAGGGAGCTGGAAAGACACCTAAAATCAGTACCTGACAAGCTGGGATGTGGTTCATATGTTAGTTTGTATGCAGCCAGCAGTAACAGCTTGGATGATCAGGCCCCAATCCACTGCGAGGCCTGGTCATGGACCAGGCTGCAGGGGTGCTGACCCCTGAAACACCCCCACGTATATCCCAGGTATAATCAACAGACTTATTTCCCTATAATTCTTACACTATCTTTTATCCTCTTTTTTCCTATACAAAGGATCTATGCATGCTCTCTGCCAATCCTTAGGTACCTTTTTTCCCTTACATGCACATGGTGAACAAATGCACTTACTGCTCCAAAACAATATCCCCACTTACTTTTAACATTTCTGTCTTAATTCAATCTATCTCAGCTTCTGAACCCCTTTCATTCCACCCACTGCATCAAGCACCTCCCCCACATTCAAATCTGGCTCTTCCTCACTTCTAAAAGGTGTTGCACCTCCTGCCCACTGCAAGAAAACATTGCACCCCTCTCTTCATCAATATTCAACAGTTCTTCAAAATAATCCTCCATTTCCCTGTACTTCTTTTGTTTTAAACTGTTAAATCCATTTGTTTCTTAGGCTTTCTTACCTTTTTGATCTCTCTCCAAAACCTTTTTCTTATACTCAGCAAAATTTGTTAATAAAACCTCTCCCACTCTCTCATTAAAGTCTCCTTTTGCACTCCATCACTCTTTCAACCTCTCTTTTACTCTCCATATACTCTTCCCTGTATATATCACTTTTTCCACGCAATTTAATGACAAACACTTCGGGAGAAAATTACTGCTAAGTTTAAAATATCTTCCTTCTCTCCAAACACAGGATTTAGATTTTTTCTGCTTTTAAACACATTACAGCTTATCAGTGGTTTCATTATTCATCATATTGATAAACAAAAAATTAAAATCCAATGCAATAATTATTTTTTTTAACAAGTCGGCCGTTTCCCACCGAAGCAATAAATATGCCTGATTATAATTCATAGTTTGGATAGAGAAAAATGTACTGCCAAGTTACCTTTAAGAAGAAAGGATGCTGACTTTCTTCTTGTGTAAGATTCGGTATTCCTGTCACCAGAGCATCAGCTGTTTCTTGCACATGCAAGCGAATGTTGAGGCAACTGCAGGTCAGCTGCACCATTCTTGCCTCTGAATTAGAAAGAGAAAAATTTGTTCATAACATATTAAATCTGGGGAACATAGGCACAGATGTGCTATATTCGCAGTACCATTTTTTTTTGGGGGGGGGGGGGATTACTAATATGTACATCTAATACAGTACTATCTCTTGTTTTAGTTATTCAGCGTGTAATTCCTTTATTATAGTATTCTAATTCTAACCTGTATTACAACATTGATAAAATATTATGTATCCCTTATAGCAACTAGGTTTTTGTGCCACTGGTTCTAAGTGGACTGATATAATGGGGCCAGGAGCTGTGACTCGACCCCTGTAACCAGAACTAGGCGAGTGCATACTGTATTACAATTGAAAATAAAGTGAGAATAATTTATACTCTTTCATTTATGATATTAGCACTTTACATGCACAATCCTTCACGAAGTCAAAATTACTAGCATAATACTGACCAATTACTCACACAAGTGAACTCAAATACTTTTGTTGCCTCTTTTGTCAGATGTTCTCTTCCCTGGGTTACTTTGGAAGCCATCCAAGATTGTAAAATGCAGAAAAAAAAAATGGCAGTATGACACTAATTTTGTTTATTTTCCTCTGATGCAGCACTGCCAAGTAGGTGTAAATGTGCCACATTGTAAACAAGGTTAGTAAACACTCACAGGGATCAGTCTCATGGGTGACTGAACCCTATTTTTCAGAACAGTTACAGGATTATAGCAAACTTCTCTCCACCTTCCATTTGCCATACTATACTTCCACATGGTAAACACTTTCTTTTGGCTTCTCTGCTTCTCTCACTAGGGGTAGCTTCAATTGGCTGTTTTATCAGTCAGTTCCCTCAAGGAGTTACCATAGGTCTTGTGACCAAGCATGATATGGCATTCTAAAAGTGCATCCTACTGTGCTAAAGTTAATACAAGGCTGCTTCACGTGTTTAATACTGTGGAAGATCTTGCCAATTTAGTTCTGGGTTCAGTCCTTCAAACTGATGCTTCATGAAGAGGTAAATCACACAAGCACTCCCCTCGCTGTATCTTCTATTATCTTTATTTTAACCTTTACAAAAGAGTGTTACCTAGGTAGTAGGTTGGTAGACAGTAATTGCCCAGGGAGGTACTACTGTCCTACCAAGTGAGCGTGAAACGAAAGCCTGTAATTGTTTTACATGATGGTAGGATTGCTGGTGTCCTTTTTTCTGTCTCATGAACATGCAAGATTTCATGTATGTCTTGCTACTTCTACTTACACTTAGGTCACACTACACATACATGTACAAGCACATATATACACACCTCTCTGGGTTTTCTGCTATTTTCTTTCTAGTTCTTATTCTTGTTTATTTCCTCTTATCTCCATGGGGAAGTGGAACAGAATTCTTCCTCCGTAAGCCATGCATGTTGTAAGAGGCGACTAAAATGCCGGGATCAAGGGGCTAGTAACCTCTTCTCCTGTATACATTACTAAATGTAAAAGGAGAAACTTTCGTTTTTCCTTTTGGGCCACCCCACCTCGGTGGGATACGGCCGGTGTGTTGAAAGAAAGAAAAGAGTGTTAACGTTAAGTACTAAAGAGTATCCGGCAGAGTCCCTGAGTTTTCAAATCATCATTATCAGCAAGTTATCTGGTTGGTAGGTTCGATGACTTATTAAAATAACTGAGTTATCCAACATAATGTAGCTTTAAGTTTATATTAGGTTAGTGCTTACCAATAATTTTACTAAATTTATACTTTGTTGTTAAGTAATGTTGCAGTAGTCTATTATTCTTGTAGGAATGGTTATTGAGGGTATCAATAAGCAATTGTATATATTCAGGCAGTCTGTTACAGGGTGTCTTTTGCCTGAATGAAGTTAATGTTGAAGTCTCCAGTAAGTATTAAACAGCATTTATTTAGTTTTTTGTTAATGATTAGGTCCATGAGGTTTTCTCCAAAGTTGATTATGCTGGTGTGGCGACTTACAGACAGCTCCTATTATAAGAGGGTTATTCAAGTTCTTGGTTGAGAATTGTGCAGCAATTTATTCTTAAACAAAATCTGGTGGTGGATGAATGGATGCATTTTACCTCATTATTATAGTAGATTGCTATTCCCCCACCCTTTTAATCAGGACTACACTCAATACCTGTCCTCATCCAATTATGTCCCTATTCTTCTTCCAACCTTCCTTCAATGCCCATTTAAAACTGGCAACCTATGTTGTCCTACTGAATCTTTATTGTAATTTAAGTCTTGTACTCTATAGTAATTTCAGTTACTAGCTGCATTTTACCAGCTCTTCTCAATAATGTCATAAAACAGAAGAACAGAGAATAAGTTTACAAAATATGTAATTATTTTGAAATTTCCCATTTTGTCATTAGCTACCTTTCTTCTTGTACTTATGATTGTAGTTAATTATGCAAGAAGTCTTACATAATAGGCTATGTCTAGTACTTTAGTATTGCCCAAAAGGCATTGCATAATTAGCGGTTTTCTTCTGTGCCTCTTCCCCAGGTGGCCCACGGCATGGAAGATAATGCTCTTGCCTCACAGTGTCAGTGGTTTGATCCCTGGCACATCTACTGTCCAGCTTACCTTGCAAGCAAGTAGGTGCCTGGGTGTGGGTCACATTCTGGGAGATAAGATTAAGGACCCCAATGGAAATATGACAGTTAATCAATGATGCATTGCCTGGGTGGCTAACCCTCGGGGTTAAAAAATCCAAACAAAATCTTATCTTATCTCTTACCTACTCATCCACACCATTTGCAAGGCTCAAAGAAATAAAACTATTATTGTGCATGGCTGAGTACTCCGATAAAGTTATAGACGCATGTGATGTTGTGGTCAAGTTACGTTTCAGTGAGAATAACGAAGGTTGGACTCCAATGGAAATCAGGGACCTCAATGGAAAGAAGTCACTTTGAATTTTTTGGGGTTATCCTAAGTAATTTACACTATGTATGATAATTGTACTTATGCGTACCTGTGTACTTGCTTGCTTGCTTACTTATCCTTTAGCGAGTCTTGGAGTGCAGATATCTTATCATAATGTTTACTTAGGGGTCTGGCATTGTAGTCAAATAACACTACAATGCCAGACCCCTAAGTAAACATCTTGTGTATATACGCATTTTGTCACTGACACACACGAGTATATGCACATGTAGAAGTGATAAATACAACAATTTCATGATAATAACATAACTTGGCAGTGATTACCAAGACTACCTCAGCAGTACCAGACTAAATTTGTGTTGACGTACCTAGTACAAGAATCATTTATACATGGCACTAACTACAACATGTTATAATCACCACACAAACACTTATAATGTCGTATCATTTAAAGTATTAATGTTGTTAATACTAATCACACACTGAAAAAATAAACAGTTGCACTTTAACAAAAAAAAAATAACCTTGAGAATCGAGGTTCTTGGCAAAACAACGTCATAAAGTGACGTTTTTCACACATTAATGACAGAGGAAATAATATACGTCTTTACTACATACCAGTGACACACCTCTGACAACAGATAAAAGTAAGAATTAATGGATGATAATGTCGTACGTGAGCGAGGAAAGTGATAATGGTTAGTGAGGTGTTGAACCTCGTCTACTGCTGTTACTGCTGTTGCTGCTGCTGCTGTTGTGTTGTTGCTGCTGCTGCTGCTGCTGCTGCTGCTGCTGCTGCTGCTCAACCGGCTCACCATAACCATCCCTTTAATATATTTTCTTTGTAAACATATTCTCCCTGACACAAAAAAAATATTATTTTCTAATTTGCAAAAGAGATATAATCTATGTTATCAGGTTAAATACATATATATACGAATAATGTAAGGAAATGTGGGTAAAAGGAAGGGTAATGTAATAAGGTAAAGGTATGAGTATTGAGACATTCCTCAAGAACCAGTTACAAGAACCATGACATGTTTACTACATTATGTTATGTATTTATCTCATATACAAACGTAAACAACTGGTTTTGCAAGGTAAATAATAGCCTGGGCACATGAACTTTCTTAATAAATGAATTACCCGACGATTATAAATTAATATACAATAAAAATGTTGAAGTTGTACAATGTTATGTACGTCACGTAGTCATTGTTTGCTTGTTTGTTTGTACATAATTTAGTATCTATTATGCACCCATACCCATGGTATGGGCAGTAGCCATAAGATTAGAGGTATATAATGGGTCCAGGGATTGAACCGTGAAGTTTTAATAGCTGAAGAAGTTACAGTGGTAACGAACTGTTTACATGATTATATCTGGTTACAATCGTATTGAGTTATATTTTAGCAAGGTATAATTGTAAAAAAAATTAAGCGGTTATGCGTTATTTACAATAAGCAAAGTCAGGGTATTTTTCCAGAATTGTTGGTAATATGTCACAGCGGACAAAATACTTCGACATTTCTTGAACAATTCTGAGCGAGTTGTCTGTGAGTTCACAAATTTGTCGCATTCCAGCACAAAGACGCAAGATGTGACAACTGTACATCTGGCCAAGTTTGAGTTTGGTCAACAACATCTGGTGGTGATAATTTAATCTCCCAGAGATACTGGTAACAGTCGGAGCCTGGCAGTAGTGACACCCAAGTCTGTTTATTGCAAACTAACCACGGGGGGGGGGGGAGGAAGAGTTGGATGATAGCTCTAGGCCTTTCGTGTTGCAGTCAACACATCATCAGGAATTTGCAAGCCCCTGCTGGAGCTATCGTTCAACTCCCCCCGTGGTTGTTTTGCATTTTATATCGCTTGTTCACGATTTTTGCAGTTGGTTTATTGTGTTGGATGCACCATAGATATGTGGCTCCTATATAATTGATGGTTTGACTGTTGTCAGTCTCTTAATTCATGTCTACACAACTCGTTACGATTGTGACCAGATATAAACATGTAAATAGTTTATTACCACTGTAATTTGCTTAGGTATTAAACTGCGTCCCGGTCCTTACCATGCAGGAGGAACCACATAAGTATGGTGCATCTGACAAAATAAGCCGATACACAAATAATAACCTGCTCATAGGAGAGGGGAGCTTACGACGACGTTTCGGTCCGACTTGGACCATTACAGTCAGAGAGGAAATGGTATGGTGATACCGACAAGATGTGGAAAAAGACACTTATGTACAGTTCAGGACATTTATTAAAGGAAACGTTTCGCCACGAGTGGCTTCTTCAGTCCTAATACAGAGAAAACTAAGAAAACACACATATATATAGTGGTGGGAGTCAGGTGAGGTGAAGCGTGGGTAGAGGTGGTGGTAGTAGTAGTAGTAGTAATGGAACTAAGGAGGTGAGGTTAGAGAGGGACCTGCTGGCATCAAGTAACACCAGTTCCCAGGATGGGTAATATCCTCTTGCTTAGTAATTTTGAAATACTGTAACTACCGGATTTTTGCTTTATAGTGTTACTGACAGAAATTAGTGCAGCTTCAATGCATTTTCTCCGTCTTAAGTCGTCTTCTTTAATAACTAGTTTAGCTTCATTGAATTTCATGAGGTGTCCAACATCGTCTCTATGTTGAACACATGCGTTTTTGCGGTCATCATTTCTGCAAGCATTTTTGTGTTCTGCTATTCTAATGTCCAGAGTTCTGGCTGTTTCCCCTACATATACTTTGTCACACCCCCCACATGGTATAGTGTAGATTCCTGCACTTGTGCCAGAATCAGAATTTTAAAGTCTACCGGAAGCCTACCTACAAGAATGATCTTCTACATTTCTTCTCTCACCATGACACAAGAACTAAAAGAGGGGTAGTTATTGGCTTCTTTCTGAGAGCCTACAGGATTTCCAGTCCGCAGTTCCTCGAAGAAGAATGTACATACATCACCAACTCTTTTAGTTCACTACACTTTCCCCTACACTTCATACGTGACTGCAGGAAACGTGCAACACGTATCCTCAGCAAGACCAACACCTATCAAATTGAAGAAAAGCCTCCAAGTTACATCGTTTTACCGGTCAGCAACGTTGCCACTAATGTTTCAAAAATGTTTGACAGAAAACTGGCTAAAATATCTACCAGCTCTTCAACTACTATTAGGAACCTGATACAAAAACCCAAGCATGATTCTGGCACAAGTGCAGGAATCTACACTATACCATGTGGGGGGTGTGACAAAGTATATGTAGGGGAAACAGCCAGAACTCTGGACATTAGAATAGCAGAACACAAAAATGCTTGCAGAAATGATGACCGCAAAAACGCATGTGTTCAACATAGAGACGATGTTGGACACCTCATGAAATTCAATGAAGCTAAACTAGTTATTAAAGAAGACGACTTAAGACGGAGAAAATGCATTGAAGCTGCACTAATTTCTGTCAGTAACACTATAAAGCAAAAATCCGGTAGTTACAGTATTTCAAAATTACTAAGCAAGAGGATATTACCCATCCTGGGAACTGGTGTTACTTGATGCCAGCAGGTCCCTCTCTAACCTCACCTCCTTAGTTCCATTACTACTACTACTACTACCACCACCTCTACCCACGCTTCACCTCACCTGACTCCCACCACTATATATATGTGTGTTTTCTTAGTTTTCTCTGTATTAGGACTGAAGAAGCCACTCGTGGCGAAACGTTTCCTTTAATAAATGTCCTGAACTGTACATAAGTGTCTTTTTCCACATTACAGTCAGACTAACAGAAAGGAGAGGAGGGAGTATATATAGGCCAATAGACAGGGATGTAACAAGACAGGTATTAGGAAAGTAAAAACATAGGTAGTGGTAGAGGTAGTAGTAGTAGTCAGTGGAAGAAATAAGCCGATTTGGATGTCACTACTGTCAGGCTACAACTGGGTTACCACTATTCTTCAGCTCTATCACACATAAGGGGATTACCAATAAACCCCTGGCTGTCTTCAAGAGTGATCTGGACAGGCACCTAAAGTCAGTAACTGACCAGCCAGGCTGTGATTCGTATGTCGGGTTACGTGCGGCCCGTAGTAACGGCCTGGTTAATCAGGACCTGATCCACCACGAGGCCTGGTCACCGACTGGGCCACGGAGGCGTTGACCCCCGAAACCCACTCCAGGTATACTAAGAAAGACGACCAAACAGTAGAAAGTGCAACAGAGGTAAGGTCATTAATGACCAGCAGGGAGAGGGTAGTGCCACGAACACTGCCATGTACACCTTCAACCTGGACAAAGTCAGGGAAAAAGCTATTTATCAAGATGCAGAAATCTCTCTCTGATAAGAAATCTTTAAAGAAATGTGGCAAATTGCCTCAAAAACCTTAAGAATGAGATTGGTGTAGTTTGTTGTAGTGCCAGGTAGTGTCATAAGCTGATTATTAGCAAAGGCATTGGAAACATACATATCAAAGTACATTGAGGGGTAATGAAAAAACAACCCCTATGAAAACCATACTGAGGTGGTGAGAATTTCTTTTTTTCAACATACCACACTAAATACGTATTTGTTAATTAAGCTTTCTAGTAAGAGTGATAGGTCTGTAGTGAGAGTTGTCATGGCCTAAGTACTTGGCTAACTAAAAGATAAGACACCAGAGGTTTTCCACTGCTTTGGTCTTCTAACACTGACTTTCTTGATTATCCTGGGCTAATTATTATGTTTTTATATTTAGGTTTAAGGGAATATCCTGGGTTATATAAACTCATTTCTATGTCCATAACACCTGTGTGCTTTCAAGACCTCTGTAAACATATTTAAAAGGAAATCTTATAATATTACAATTTTTTTTTCCAAGGTATAATACTCATCAAAACATGGAAATGTCTCCTTTTGACTATACAGCCTCTCCTCACTTAGTGTCGCTGTATAGCCCTTGTGGCTTAGCGCTTCTTTTTGATTATAATAATAATCCTCACTTAGTGATGTACTTGTTTACTGACAATTCTTATATTAGAGCTGATTTCCTCTATTCTGTTTGTTACAATATACATGTACAGTAAACTACTGTATAAACATTTAACAGAAATGTTATAAATGGTGCAAAGGTGACATTAAAACAATATCAATGATGGCTGACACAAACCATTACCAATATAGCATGCTCCTCACTTAGTGATGAATTCGTACCGACATTGTCTTAGGAATGAAACTCCGTCATTATGTGAGGGAAGGCTGTATTATAATCATGGAGGAGCGCTAAACCTGTAGGATTATACAGTGCATCTGGGGAGGGATGGAAGGTATTCAGGCTCTATTCAGGGAACAGGAGCACAGATCCAATTCCCTATATCAAGAGCCCCTCAACAGCGTCAAGGAGCTTCCCTTGAGGGGAAATGACACGAAAATGTTGAACAAGGTCAGAGTCAGGAGGACAGAGGTCGGAGAGAGTCCTTAGTTTCTTGTTCAAAGTTCTCTTGATGCGATCAAGAGAAAAACGAGAGGAGTGTAGATGTGCAAGTCAGAGAGCAAGACTTAAGCTTTACGGAGGTAATCCTTGCGATCAAGGATAACTACCGAATTACCTTTGTCAAAAGAGTTTGACAATATTAGTGTTAGATTTATGAGAAGAAAGGGTAAGTTGATAGTGGCAAGGAAGGTGGTAATTGTTAGATAGCAGACTTATCAAAAGCAGGAAGGAGAGCACAACGAAAAGTGGCGGTGATGACGCTGTAGGTAAATTCTGTGTCCACTGATAGTAGTAGTGATTCAGATAAATTACTTCTCATGGGGATGGAGTAGGTTTGTAGTTCTACCTTTTTCCATTATATACTGTATATCCTGCCACAAGGGGCTCACAAAGGAAGCTGCATACAAGGAGGGGTGGATTTCTATTTTGATCAGAGGGAAACAGTAAACTCATAGGGGTCATACAGTGCATGTGATATGGAAGGCAATCAGGTTTGATTCAAGAGAAGGACAAGGTTACTTCCTTGGATCAAGAGCCCTCCACTGACATCGAGGTACACCTCCCTGGAGGGGGCAGAGAGGGTGAAGAAACCTGGCTACTTTATCACTTGAGATGTAAGTGAAACATAGATGAAAGTGAACATAAATAAAAGTAAGGTGATGAGGGTATCAAATGATTTAGATAAAGAAAAATTGGATATCACAATGAAGAGAGGGATCATGGAAGAAGTGGATGTTTTCAGATATTTGAGAGTTGACTTGTCAGCAGATGGGTTGATGAAGGATGAGGTTAACCATAGAATTAATGAAGGAAAAAAGGCGAGTGGTGCATTAAGGTATCTGTAGACAAAAATCGTTACCCATAGAGGCAAAGAAGGGAATGTACGAAAGTATAGTGGTACCAACACTCTTATATGGGTGTGAAGCTTAGGCTGCAAATGCTGCAGCGAGGAGGTGGCTGGAGGCAGTGGAAATGTCCTGTCTAAGGGCAATGTGTAGTGTAAATATTATTTATAGAATTCGGAGTGTGGAAATTAGGAGGAAGTGTGGAGTTACTAAAAGTATTAATCAGAGGGCTGAAGAGAGGTTGTTGAGGTGGTTTGGTCATTTAGAGAATGAATCAAAGTAGAATGACTTGGAGAGCATATAAATCTCTAAGGAAGGAGGAAAGTGGGGGCAGGGGTCGTCCTAGAAAAGGTTAGAGGGGGTAAAGGAGGTTTTGTGGGTAAGGGGCTTGGACTTCCAGCAAGCATGTGTGAGCGTGTTAGATAGGAGTGAATACAGATGAATGTTTTTTGGGATCTGACGACCTGTTGGCGTGTGAGCAGGGTAATATTTAGTGAAGGGATTCAGGGAAACCAGTTAATTTTATATAGCTGGACTTGAGTACTGGAAATTGGGAAGTACAATGCCTGCACTTTAACGGAGGGATTTGGGATATTGGCAGTTTGGAGGGGTATGTTATATATCTTTATATATGCTTCTAAACTGTTGTATCTGGGCACCTCTACAAAGACAGTGATTGTGTGTGTGAGATGAAAGTGTTGAATGATGATGAAAGTAGTATTTTCATTTTGGGGATTTTGTTTCTTTTTGGGTCACCCTGCCTCTGTGGGAGATGGTCAATTTGTTGAAAAATATAAAAAAAAATATACATTTATATACATATGTATATAAAAACTTTCTTTGTTTTTGAAAAAGTATAAGAATTAGCACACCCATACATAGGTCAAGAAAATTTCAGTCGTGTTCAGATAATTTTTTACTTTGCTATAAAAGAGAGCACCTTTAACACTGAACTTGCATAACAGAAATGGTGCTTTGCACAAGTAAATGATGACAAAGGGAATGTTATCCAACATCTTAAACACCATTTCCTGTCTATAAGCTATATAAATTAAATATTTAAATCAAATAACAAAAAATAAATCTAAAGACATACATCATAACCTTGGCTATCACAAAAACCTAGAATAACAACATTCTTCTGTAATTTTATATATTCAACAATTAAATGCTGAATAAACATGTTGACATGGTCATTAATAGGCAAGTACTTCTAAATTTTTTGTCATTTTACAATCTTCATATTGTATAAACACAGACATTTTTAAATTTTATTACTTTACTGAACTAAAACAACTATTTTACATGTGTACTTATAGAAATGAACTACAATGCTTCATTGATTTGTCTCAATTATTTAAATTGACATTTAGTCAGGAAATGAGCAAACATAGATAAACAAAAAAAAGTTGGAAATTTTTAACTACAAAAAGATGCTAGAACAAATATTGAATTTTATTGAGTGCTGGTTGAGAAAAGTGCAATGACACCAGCTGCTCCCAGAGTGCTGAAAACGTAATTGTATGCTGGAGCCATGGACCGGAACACAAGGAAGGATCCAACTACAACCAACATCAGGAAGAGAGCATTGTTGTAAAACAAGGAGAATGTTGTGGCCTGAGCTTCTGCTACTTCATTCTTCTTCCACAACACCCTGAACAACAAATATGTGATTACAATAATTAATATATATATATATATATATATATATATATATATATATATATATTATATATGCCTCATGGGAACGGCCGACGTGTTAAATATATTATATATATATATGTATATATATATGTATATATATATGTATATATATATATATATATATATATATATATATATATATATATATATATATATATATATATATATATATATATAATATACATACGTACGTACGTGTGTGTGTGTGTGTGTGTGTGTGTGTGTGTGCGCACGTGCGCACGCGTGTGCGCATTTTTAAAATAAGAATGACAATTGCGAATTAAATTGCAGATTCTGTTAATTGTTCATTACATAAAATTTTACTACTAGTACCTGAAAATAAACAATCTTTTTAAACATCGTTATTACACACACATGGCCAATGGTAGCTCTAATTATGCAACACACATTTTTTGGGGTTTTTTAAGTTGTCCAATAAATTGGTAGCTACTCTTTCTGTTCTTCAGCAGGCAGAAAGTAGTTACACAGTGGGGTGTTATAGACAGCATTTTAATTAAGATATCTGATTCTTTCTTCAACAATATCTACTGTACACAACAATGAATCTTCCTTCATGCACTATCATTAGTTAAAAATACCTCATGGTTCAATTTCTGTGGTAATGCTATTTTCTTAGCAACAGTTAAATTAATCTACCTTCCTCTTCACTGAAGTACCTGAAGGCCCAACACTGCCAGTATTACTATCTGGACTGAACAAACTTAACACCTTTTACACATGCACCTAGTTTGTGTTACCAGCAATTATAGAAAATTTTAATATACTAAAACTGGACTTTCAATATCACACACTTTAAACAAAACTCTGGGTCAGCATGGAATTTTTTTTCTGTATACAGACAATTTTGTCACTGCTTGTGCTGGCATGTTAAAATATGACAGTTAAATTATGAATGCTTTATTACAATATGCCATTACTTGTACATTACAATATGCTATTACCTGTAATAGTTGGGTCACTTCATGGCCCACAACATCCTACACCTTAAACTAGAACATTGTGGGATCATAGGTCATACCCTCGCATACCTACGTATGTTTTATCTACAACTTTCACAAGGTATGATGTCCTCCTTGTGTCCATATATATTTTTTTTTTTTGTTATGGTTTGATAAGCAAGCTTAAAATTCACATCTCTTCAACTGAACATAAGAATTTAAGAGCACTGCAGCAGGCTTACTGACCCATACTAGGCAGACCTACTTGCACACACCTATTTCCAACTACTGACAATTCTATTAATTTTACAGTAGGTTAATGAACAAGCTCAAATTATATATGCTAAACAAGGCCTGAAGAATGACTACCAGTGGATTAAGGCATGATCAACCAGGTTGTTACTGCTGGCTGCATGCAATCCAACATTTGAACCTACAGCCCAGCTGGCCAGGCACTGATTTGAGAAACTTGTCAATTTTTCGCTTGAAGATAGGTAGAGGTTTATTGGTAATTCTTCATGCTTAACCCTTTCAGGGTCTGTGCAGTAGATCTACAGCTTTATGTTGAGGGCCCAAACCGTAGATCTATGCCATGAGCTCAGCTCACTCTGATAAGCTGTGAGCGGTAAATTTGGGCCTAGATATGAGAGAATACATCTATGTGGTATGTGTGCACCACATAAAACAAATCCTGCAGCACACAGTGCATAATGAGAGAAAAAACTGAGACCGTAATTTTCGATCAAAACAGCAACTTTACAGTGTTTTTTCGTATGTTTTTTATAGTTGTATTTGTGACTTCTTGGTCTCATTTGATAGAATGGAAGACATATTACAGAAATAGAAATGATTTTGATTGGTTTTAGCACTGAAAATGGCTTGAAACTGAGCTCAAAGTAGCAGAAATGTTAAATTTTTGCCAATGTTCAAGAGTAAACAAATGACCTCACACATCTAATACACACCAGCTGGCGGGTCTAATATACGTTCACAAATGTGCTGATATTATTTATATAATTATTACAATATTGCATAAGAGTAAATCTTCTATTATTTGTTTTTTGGTTTGAATAAAATTTCATTATGTGAATTAAAAATCAAAATGGAATTCATTTGTAAAGCCTGAAAAAGTAACTAATGAACAGAGGAAATGTTAGTTTAGTGCCAGGAATGCCTGCATTGTTTATACTGGACCCTATTTTGAAATTGGAATATTTTGAACTTTGCACTATATTGGCCAAATTACCAATTTCCAATCACTTAATTTTGTAGTTGACACAGTTGAGTTGGCAATTTCTTGTGCTCAGTCGATAGAATAGAAGTAATACTAGTGAAATAGTCAAAGTCAGCAAAATTGCCGATGCGTAAGTATTGCTGACACATCAAAATTCGAGAGCATAATTTCGTCAATTTTCCATCAAATTTCATACTTTTTGTTTTATTACCTTCAGAAAAAGATTCTCTACCATTTCATAAGGAAAAATAACAAAATTACTTTCTGAAAATTCTTGGACAATGGTGCGCACTTTGAAATCTGGCCTCTGGACCCTTAAAGGGTTAAGGGAAGGCGTTGAAAAGTCAAAGACTTATGACATTTGTTAAGTGCACCTGCTTTTTATTGGAGATACTCTACACCATCTGCCAAATCTCTCATACAGAGTGATTTTGATGGTTAGATTTGGGACCAGTCCCTCCAGGAGGGCCTATGTTCCAAGAGACTTCAGGTATTCCTAGTACAATAGTTTAGATGTCTGACTAAATAAACATATATGCGCAGTGAAAGTTCTCTGTTCATTTTATAGCTCAGCAATCTTGCCTGCCTTGAGGGAGTCCATTAGCATACAGGTGTACTCCAGCCTGTAGAAAACAAGTGACTTAAAAAGTAACAACACTGGCTTAGCATCACTTGTCTTGAAAGTTCTAGTTATTCATCCTTATCATTTTCACTGCAGTAGCAATAGCAACATTACTGCAGTCCTTGACTGCAAATCTTCTGACAATACTCCCAAGTCTTGAATGTGGAACTTTCATTCTACTGAATGATTTGAGTTTGTCCTGTACCCCATACTCTGTATTACAGACAGTGCAAAATGAGGAAAAGCAGGGTTCCCATGAGTGCAGTGAAAGACAATACACTTCAATGTAAGGGGCCCAAGACAATTCAACAGCCTTTCACCATACAAAAGGAGAATTACCAATAGATTTCTTTCTGTCTTCAAGAGGAAACTGAATAGTTTCCTCAAGTTAGTTCCTGATCAGCCGAGCAGTCATTCATATGCTGGATTGCATCTGACCATCAGTAATTAGGCCTCGATTCAACAGGAGGCATGGTGCCAGACTGAGTCTCAGGGCCTTGAACCTTGGAACACTCCAAGTAGGTATATAGTAGAGCAAGTGAAACTTGTCCTCAAGTACTGTATTGCTGTCTGAGGCCCACTAGAAGATGTGATTCATATCTTGAAGATTTGCTGCATCTTCTATGGATCTCTTGCATTGATTCAGGTGTCATCAGGAAAGGGTGTTACAGCACTATAATTTATGTCCTAATTTATGTTGGATATAAGGATGAGAAACAGAAGCACACCAAGTCCTGTGCCCTGAGGAACAAAGCTTTTTACTGTGGCAGCATCTGACTTAACCCTGTTTACTACTACCCTCTGGGTTCTCTTTGTAAGGAAAGGCCATAAGATAGTCTTTCGAGTTTCCAAACAAATTATACAATACAGTGGACCCCCGACTTACGATCAGCTCCCAACTCGAACAATTATGTAAGTGTATTTTTGTAAGTGCTTTTGTAAGTGTGTTTTTGGGGGTCTGAAACGGACTAATCTAATTTACAATATTCCTTATGGGAGCAAATTCGTTCAGTAACGGCACCCGAACAGCCTTCTAGAACGAATTAATATCGTAAGTCGGGGGTCCACTGTATACTATATTTTTTTTTTCAGCATTATCCTGAATCCAATATGTGAGAGAAATAATGAAAAGTCATTATTAAAAGGATTAATTTATACATACCTATGAACTACAGGTCCGCCATCACAAATCTGGCATCACTGGAACCTGTAGCGTGCCAGATTACTGAGTTTGCTGGATTACAGTGTGGTTAAGTTAGAATACACTTAATAAAATTAACCAACTTGACTTACACAAGAAAGTTCACTGAATGTTGGCAAAAATCGAACATAACCGCTACTCTGAGCTCAATTTCAAGGTACTTTTCATTGTGAAACCAATAAAAATCATATCTATTTCTGTAATATACCTTCCATTCTATCAAATGAGACCAAAAAAAAAAAAAAATGAGAATACAACCATAAAAACCATACGGTGGTGTACGTTACAAAGCATCTTTCCGTCATGCATTGCCCAAGTTTCAATAAGATAGCCCAACAAATAACTGAGAAAAAAAAAATATTTACCAAAAATCATATATGGCAAGCCCAAGCCAGGTACTGGAAATAAGTCACTGACTTTTTTGGGTTATCCTAGGTTCTCTATACATACGCTGCTATGTATGATAATCTGTGTAACTGTATATGTGTATACCTGAATAAACTTACTTATTTACTTCCTTCTATTCTGTCGACTGAGTACAAGAAACTGCCCATTCACCTATTTCAACTACCCAATAAAGTGATCAGAAATTGGCAATTTCACCAATTTCACACAATTTCAACAGATGTTAATTTCAAAATAGGGTCCAGAATAAACAATGCAGACATTCCTGTCACTAAAATAACATTTTCTCTGTTTATTAGTCATATCTCCAGGCCCCTCTTATATTATTCTTGCTTACCATTTTGGTATTTTTGTTCACACAAAAAATAGAGATTTACTGTTATGCAGACTAATGCATTATTGTAACAATTGTACAAATAATGTCAACCCATTCTTGACTGCGTATTGGAATTTGGACCAGCAGGCGGACAGGTACTGGACAGTGATGTCATTTGTTTACTCCTGAACATCGCTAAAGATTAGAACATTT